TGTTCGGCAGTATGGGCACGGCGGACTTTTATGCGGAACACGGCATTTCGGTGTGTTGTCGGTCGAAGTTAAACGCATATTTCACGTGGCTATATTTCAACGTTTGCAGATGACTCCAGTTGAATGGCAGTTCGACGAAGGCGGTCCTGCGGGTGGCAAGATTGCGCAGGGCTTCAAATCGATCGCTCACTACATCTCCAAAAAGCAGTTCGATATGGTGATCAATATTCCGATGCGCGGCGCTGGCTCATATCGAGTATCTACGTTCATAACGCCGGGCTATCAGTGAGAGAACGACTGTGCTTCACTGTTTTTGTAACTGACGGTAACCCTTTTCCTTTGGTAGAACTCGTCGCATGGCCATCGACAATGGTATCCCGTTGGTTACCGATATAAAATGCGCCAAACTCTTGATTGAGGTAATTAATAGAATGTGGAACGAGCAGTACTTCCGTTTGACCCCTTTCGCTCCTATATGTACGCTTTTGTGCCAGTCAGATAGAGCCGGGTTGCTCAGCAGTAGAGCGTTGAAGTCAGAACTGACAACTTTCAGGTTCTTGTCCCGAATAGTTCACTCTCCTTTCTTCTTTCCAAGATTGATAAATGAGTATTACTTTATGGGAAAAATTCATACTATTCATGCCCCGATTGCTGCTTTCGATATTAGGGCACAGGTGACAGGGCTGACTGATGGCAGGGAAATGGAAATGAGTGCACCTACGTTAATTTTATTTATTTTAAAAATTTGTGTCAGAAATAGCTCCATCATGGAACTGTACGGAAGATCGACATTCCAATGATTAAACGTTTTTCTCTTTCTGCCCTTTCCAATCACATAACTGCTTTCCCATTCCTGCGTATCGATCCATTATTTGGGTAGAGGTGAAAGTTTGCTTCTTGAGCGGGACTACCAAACAATTCTGCTTTTCTAAATAGATAGAAAATATTTGAAAATTTAGGAAACAATTGAATGTTATTGAAAATAAGCAAAAAGAACCAGAGTTATGTTATTTTAGATATATTAAATTTTATGATCGTCCAGAGGCCTTTGTCATATTCCACGTTGAAGGATAACAACTTATAACAGAGCAGCTCAGAATTCCAGTTTCTGGTCGTTGTTTCCTCGGAGACATTGCTGTCCGGCTGGATGACTGGGTGATAGTTTCGATATTATCGATGAGGTGTTACTTGTCTATACTGATGCCTTTGCTGATGTCTTTTGTGAGGTTAGCTTATGAAGCTTCTCTGCGAAAGCTTTAGATTGATTATTTGTTCAGTGGCCGGTGATCTTTGAGCCCGTCTAATCCGATGTTTTTAGCGACATTCTAACGATTGTGATTGTGGAGCGGACTGATCTGTGGTCTGATCCCAGCAGGCGATGTTTTCTCCGACGATAGACACATCTGTTATTACCCGCCTGTGTCTTTCAGCACGTAGTCGATTTGGATAGGGGCCTTTCC